CTTGTGTTTGAACACAAGTAATAACTCATGCATACATATCTTTAATGATTTGAATATAAGCGTTATTAACTCCTTTCTTTTCAAGAACTCTCCATAGCACTTCTCTTGGAACTTTATCATATGCTTTCTCTAAATCAATAAATATCATATGTAGATCCTCCTTATCCTCTCTATATTTCTCCATCAAACCACTCAATAAATGTATGGCTTCCATAGTAGACCTACCCGGCATGAATCCAAATTGATTTTGAGAAACATTAGTATCACGCAGCAACCTACGCTCCATAACTCGCTCCCATAGTTTTAAAGTATGACACATTAACTTAATTCCTCTATAATTCACACTCATGTGTATCACCTTTATTCTTAAAAATAGGAATTAACACACTCATTCTCCACTGATCTGGTGAACAATCCATGTAAAAAAAAACCTTCTCCATTTGAGTCAACCAGCCCTTGACCTCAACTATGTTTGTACTTCTCAAGAACCATGGTGACCTCATTTTGAAAAAAAAATCCAACCAAGTATTATGCACAGTAACAAGTATAACAAGCACGGGTGCCTTGGACATCCCTACCACTAATTTGGGACAACAGCCCAGTTGGGTTTGAAATAGGTTGTGCTCAAGCCATCATTTGATTGTGTCGCCATTAATAAAGTTCTCTCTCAATAATCGTCCCCTATAGTTCATAGTATCTCAATTGTCTTTAGCAGAGTTATGTTGACTCCTAATATGAAATACCGTTTTCTGTCATCATCTTGGTTCCATCTTCAACATGTCCCACTATTTGCAAAACAGCATACCGTCATACTCATCTATGGAATTAATTAACTGATGCACACTATTGGATGATGTCTCCTAAAATTCTATCCACACTCTCCCCATAAGTAGAATATCTATGGTATAATATCTTGGACAATAATATTATTTCATATAATGACCACAAAAACTTTACAGATAACATCATCAGGTCAAGTCAATCTATCGGTAGAGAACCACCTATCAAAAGCCTTGGCGAGACAGTCAGGTTCAATACCCTCTTACTCATCTCATTTTTGCATTTAAAATTGACGGCATGATCAAAATAGTCCCATTTGGAGGAGTTGTGGTCCCTCAAAATAGTTTGGGACTATTTTGGTCTCTCACAAAGAGTTGAGGGGACCATTTGATGCTTTTTTCGATAAAATAAGCAACATGCTTGCTGTAAGGATGTGTTTTTAACCTAGAAACTAGTACACTAATTTATGTGGAATCATCATCAACAACAACCATATCCTAACTAGTTTGAATTGGCTGTATGAATTCAATATTTCAATTCATTACTATTTAAGTGTTATAACCATGAAACTGCAAATTAAAATATCAAAATATTAAACAAACATTGAATAAGAGTCAACTTTACAAGCCTGGTTTTGACGATCAAGCAAATACAGTAATATGATATGACCTGCCATGTTTTACCCCATTCAACACCTTAGAATTATGAATATGGTTTATCTTGAACTTGTATCATTTTTATGGCTAAAAAGGATTTTCAAAACTTAAAACTAGCTTGCTAATATTTTGAAGTTTAATCGATTTACTCTAATTTAAGGATGGCTTGCTCAAAATTATAAGAAAAACTACAGCAATGTAATTCAGAGGGAAAATGTAATACAGAGACAATTGCACCAAAAGAATGTTGTGTATCTATTGTACACACCAAATACATTACGTGATAGAATGTCTTTTTATAAGAAGAAAACAGTAAGTTATAATACGTTTGAATCAGTTTCTAGTAGGTCGGCTAACTGTAGGAGTAGTGTTTAGTTGTGAAATCTGCAGGAATCAGGTGATGTAGTGGACAAGCCGTTGCTAGATGAGTAGGAAGGAGTTGAAGAACCGGATGTGCATTATGCTAGTGTGTTAAAAAGCCCCCTTAAATTAAGTATCTTGTTGACAGATACTTAATTTGTCAATCTTTTGGCGAAGAGTGGCTTGGTGAAAATGTCCTCTGGTTCATCGATTGAAGAACATCAATGTTTTTATTTTTGATATGATTACTAATGAAATGGTAGTCGATTTCTATGTCCTTTGTTCTAGCATGAAACACCGGATTGTTTGCAAGTGCTAGGGCTGAGATGTTATCACGGTAGATTTTGGGAACTCTGAAATCTGTGAGTAGTCGGCGGAGCCATATGACATCGAAGGTGGCTAAGGAGAAAGAATGATATTCTGCTTCAGTTGATGATTTTGCGACTGTTGATTGTTTCTTCACACTCCGTTAAATAAGATTGTCACCAAGATAAATGCAGAAACTTGAAATGGAATTTTCGTTCGTTGAATCAACAGCCCAGTCGGCATCGCTGTAAGCAATGAGGTTGAGATCACCAGGTGTGATTGGAAGACCAAGATTCTATGTTCCTTTAAGGTATCAGAGAAGTCTCTTGAGAGCTTGGTGATCAGCATTTGTGGGATTTTGCATATGTTGACAGAGTGCATTGGTGGCATAGGCAATGTCGGGTCTCGTTAACGTGAGATAATTTAAGGAGCCTGCGAGTTGGCGGTAATGAGTGGGATTATCATATGGATCGGTGTTGGACATCTTCTTTGAGTGTTTGGGGGACATTGGGGTAGCAACAGGTTTGCAAGAGAGAAAACCAGAAGAATTTAGTAGTTCTCTGGTATAGTGTGTCTGGTGAAGGAATAAACCTTGATTTGTTTGATTGACTTGAATGCCAAAGAATAGAGAGATAGTGCCAAGCTGTTTAAGGGAGAATGAGGCTTGCAATTGAGAGAGTAGATGATGGATGACTTCCGAATTATTTCCTGTGAGCAGTAGCTCATCCACTGATATGAGCAGGTACAACGTTACATCTGAATTTATGTAGATCATGAGAGACGGGTCAGCCAGCTTTGCTGAATTGAAACCCGAAGGCTTGAAGGAATGATGTAAGCTTATGAAACCACTGACGGGAGGATTGGTTAAGGCCATATAGCCTTGTGTAGTTTGCAGACATGCTGCGGTTGCTGAGGATCAACAAATCTCTGTGGTTGCTGCATGTAGACTTCATCATTGAGTTCTCCGTGGAGAAATGCATTTGCTACATCATTTTGTAAGGTTGGCCATTTCCTTTGAAAAGCTATAATGAGAAAGACACGAATCGTGGGCATTTTGGCTACTGGGCTAAACGTGTCTGTGTAATTGATGCCAAACTGTTGATTCTAGCCTTGTGCGATGAGGCGTGCTTTGTAGCGATTAACCGTGCCATTGAGATGTAACTTGATTTTGTAAGTCCACTTACATCCAAGGATTGGAGTGTTGGGTGGGGGTTTGATTAGGGACCAAGTTCCTTGTTTTTGAAGTGCTAAGAATTAAACCGACATGGCCTGTCTCCATTGGGGATGTTTTGTGGTTTGTAGGTAAGTTGATGGTGTGGTTTCAGGTTGAGACTGTGCAGAGAGATCAAAGATCTTTTTGGGTTTAAGGTGGCCTGTCCTGAGCCGAGTTTGCATATTATGAGTTGAGTGTAGGAGCTGCGGTAAGGTGGGAGTGGGAGGGTTATTTTCAGGTGGTGGGGAAAGTGGGGGCTAAATTGATTCAGTTGTGGTGTTAGTAATTTGGCTGGACAAAGTTGGTTCGAGGATAGTTTGAGTGGAAGCATTATGTTGGATTGAATATGTGGAGGTTGGAATTAATAGTAAAGGAGAAGTTGGTGTAGTGATGGAAGGGGGACAGATGAGGGGGGAAGTGGATGTTGAGGGAAAAGTTTGCTCATGAAACTGAACGTGTCGAGAAATTATAATTTTCTTATTTTGAGGATTGAAGCATCTGAAGCCGTTGTGGGAGGTGGAATATCCTAAAAATATACGGGGATTGGAACTAGGTACAAGTTTATAGGGGCCTGAGGGTGAAGCCGTGGAAAATAGAGGCAGACGCAGGATTGAGGTGATCATAAGTGGGGTTGAAACCGTGGAGCAAACTATAGGGTATTTTGAAATTCAGAGCAGATGTAGGTAGTCTTTTTATTAGATAATTTGATGTTTGCACGGCTTCTGCCCAGAATTGTAGGGGTAAATTGGCTGCATGAAGTAAGGTCCTACTGGTATCAAGAAGATGACGATGCTTCCTTTCAGCTAATCCATTTTGCTCCGGAGTGTATGGACAGCTAAATTCGTGAGTGATGTCGTTTGTTAGTAAAAAACTATTTGAAATTATTACTATTGTATACTCCTTCGGCATCGGAGTAGAAAGTTTTGATATGTTTATGAAAGTGGGTTTTCACCATTTTAATGAATCGTTGAAGTAGTGGAAGTGCTTCATTTTTGGAATGCATTAAGTATAACCAATAGAATCAAGTGTTGTCGTCAATGAACACAATATAATATCGATAGCCATGTAATGAAGTTATTGGAGATGGGGCCCAAACATCAGAGTGTATTAAGCTAAAAGGACTAGTTACATGAAGAGATTGTTTTGGAAAAGATAACTTGTGTCTCTTGGCTACATTACAAGACTGACATAAAAAAGACGAAGAAATTTTACATAAAGAGGGAATAAACTAAGATATGACTTTCATCACACGGTGGTGTGGATGTCCTAGACAGGCATGCCAAAGTGTTGTTGGAACGGAAGTGGTGTGAAGAGCTCGGACATATAAGCTAGCAGAGGTACGTTATTGGATAGATTCCTTCACGACTGCAGCCACGAAGTAATATGCGGTTGTCCAATTGATCCTTAATTATGAAGCCATCGACATCAAAATAGATAGAACAATTGTTATTGGAGGTGAGTTTGGAAATAGATAGGAGATTAAACGAAAGTGAAGGGACATGAAGGAGATTATGTAGTCGAAGCTTACGGGTGGATTCCGGAAGTGGTAAGATGCCTTTGCCGCTGTGGTGTATGGGTAGCGAGGTGTCGTTAGCAATAGAGATGGAGTCTGGACCTTGATAAGTTGTTGGTTGATGTAAGTTGGCGAACTCATTTGTAAGATGTGTGGATGCTCTCGAATCTAAGACCCATTCAGTGGGTGAGTTCGATTGTTGCTGAGAGAGAAGGGCTCGCTGGTTCGCAGGAGTTAGAGCATATTCTAGGTTGCATCTGTGCCAGCAAGAAAGGGCTGTGTGACCAGTTTTGCCACATATTTGACAGATCGGTCTTTTTGAAGTGTTGTTGGAAGGTTTCAAAGATCGACTGGTACTAGGCGACGAATTGAAGGAGGTTCCTCTACCGCGAGATGGTCTGAATGAGTTGGTGGGAAGAGACCTTCCGTGGTTAGATTGGCCACGAGAGGTGTAGAGCACTTGATGATCGGTGGGTGGGTTAGAGTCTTGCTATAATTCAGATTGGATTTGTATTTCCTCCCTGCATAAGAGGGAGTAGAAGACTTCTAAGTTGATTGGGTGAATCGAAGTGCGAATTACTGTTTTGAAGGAGATGTATGTAGAGGGCAATCCATTTAGTATGTAGAGGATGGTATCCTTTGTATCATTGTTGGATCCAACGGCAGCGATGTTGTCGACCAAAGATTTTATTTGGGCCAAATATTAGGTGATTGTTTGATCGCGCATCTGGATGTGTTAGACTTCATTCTTCAGTTGAATGACTCTGGATCGATTCAGTAGTTGCAGTCAGAGTTCTAGGGTAGTCCATATCTGATGAGGTGTTGAAAGATGTAGAATATATGGTAGCACTGATGGTGATATAGTTGATAGCAATGCAGCAACAAGGTTTTGGTCTATCAGTTTTCACAAGCAGAAGTCATTAGTGAGGGAGTTCGATGAGGGTATAGGCAGGCAGGAGAGTGTGCCGGTGAGATACCTGTCAAAACTGTTTGCAGAGAAGAGCTTTTGAATTTGGAGGCGCCATATAGCATAGTTTTCATTAGTAAGCTGAATGTTGACAATGGATTTAAGGTTTGATATGAGAAATTTTAATGAAGATGGAATAGCAAATTCGGCCATTGAAGTAGAAAGGGAGGAAGTGGGTAGAGGTGAAGAAGAAGAACCTTGATCGGTCATTGGATATGGGAAAAGGAACTTGGGTGCTCTGATACCATATAAGAAAAACTACAGCAATGTAATTCAGAGGGAAAATGTAATACATAGACAATTGAACCAAAAGAATGTTGTGTATCTATTGTACACACCAAAAACATTACATGATAGAATGTCTTTTTATAAGAAGAAAATAGTAAGTTATAATATGGTTGAAGCGGTTTCTAGTAGGCCGGCTAACTGCAGAAGTAGTTCTTAGTTGTGAAAACTGCAGGAATAAGGTGCTGTAGTGGACAAGCCATTGCTAGATGAGTTGGCAGGAGTTGAAGAACCGGATGTGCATTATGCTAGTGTGTTAACAAAAATTAGTTTGTTTCATCTAGTTTGACACAATAAACTATATGTTCACATGGATATGTGTATGTTTTACACGCACATGCATATAAAACACGCGCGCACGCACATATATCTATAACCATTATGATTAATTAAACGATAAGTTCTAATATTTATAGACTCAACTCAATATAACTCTAAAATTGACTCAAGATCAATTGCTTTCAATCCGACTTAGCCAATATTGAAATCTTAGATTTCAAGCCATCTTGTTTGGGCATGAATCAATATCAACCAATCAATCACATTGTCTTGAAGAATAAGATGAAAAGTTTGAATTATTCTATTAGACATATCATGCGTTAATTGCAAATCCAACGAGTGATATGTTGAGTTTTGAAGGATTAAGTGTTTAGCACATTGAGATAATTCTAACAATATTTAGAAAATAAAATTGCATGTCAAACCTGCTTGCATGGTATCCTTCTAAGTGCTTCAACCAAAGTAGGCTTGTAAATGGCACGTCGCACTTCTCCATGACCACAACAAAATAATGAATTATCACCGCAGGTGAAAACCTAATAGACAAAAGATAAGTGAAGGAAATGTTTTATGAGAATTCATTCACTTAAAGCATCATAGTGTACCTCTCCTGACTCCATGACAAAAGCAGCATGGTTATGAGATGCAGAAATGTGGATGACACGTGAGAGTGAAGGAATATTGATGCGCCTAAATGCCACACACTGCGTTTTATCTTGACCATGACCAAGCACACCACACAAACTAGATCCACAAGAGTAAACTGAAGAATCATGAATCAAGAGCGTATGATATCTTCCAGTGGTTACTTGCATCTGCATGGATTGAGATTTTTCAGAGTAAATTTAGATCAATCATATATTTGCAGAGTATTAATATCAGCAATAGTAGAATCCAACCATAAAAACATTATTTTACTTTCACAATAAAGCACAAGCACTAATCACTCTTCAAACATTCCATTAAATATGGAAGAAGAGCCATTTTTTTTGGGTAAAAATGTATTGCTAGTTAAAAACTCTAACTTGTAACAGGATATAAGGAAATGAATTGGATTTCCTTCAGTAGCTAAATAACGAGTTCTCTGAACTGAATACCCTTATAAACAAGCAAGTCACCAAACCTCTAGATCATGCGGAAAATCCTCAATTTATTTCTTTGTTTGTATCAAATTATATTTCAGATGCTTTCGCCTTTATCAATAAGGAATCGTAATCAGCAAGAGACCTGCGAACATTATAAACGCACAAAACTAATGATTGATCATTTGGAGATCTTGGTTAAGCAATCTTGTCAGGAATTATGCAGCTAAATAAACTAAGTGTCCATAGATATCACCTACTCAGTTGATTAAGAAAAGGTTTACACTATGATGTTGAGACTTAAGCAAACTAGTGAAGAACCAAAATCATAATCCAATATGATCTTGTAATTTTCTAGTATCCCTTAAATCAATTTAAGTGATTTCAAAAATAACTGTGAAAATACTCAATTTGAGTTTGAGCAAGGGCTTTTTAAGATTTGAATGGTACATTACAGAAAATTAATGCTTACGTGAATTTCATTGTTTTTTGTAACCTTCTTTCTATCTATTAGTTATGTCTATCAATATCATTCAATCAATATTGAATATTAACCCTCTTAGAATTGGTCGTATCTTGCATTCTATGTATTATTCTTAACTATACCAATCACTTTGCTATAACCTATAATAGCTTCGTCTTGTCCGCAAAGGATTGTGAGTTGTTGTCCAAATTTTCAAGGGTAAAACACTTATAATAGAGCTAAAACTCGTGAGAAATTTATCAAAGAATTGCACTACACATCGAGAAGTCTAAAAGCTAGCTCTCTATATGGTGATTCATTCCCTACAAGGAGCGTGAGAAATTTCCAAAATAAGGAATGAAAGACATTGTGTGATGCGGACATCGGCACGAAGATTTGGCGCATCTATCACAGGAGGCGTCGTAAATCGACGACTATAATTTAAATTGTCATTTAAGAGTTATTTTATGAATTTTAGCTTTTATTTTATGTTATTTCTTGTTTTACCCCTAGGTTAATTTATTTGAATGTTGTGGCACAAGGGTCAATTTGTAATTTCGATTTTTCTCATATTGGGGCCTTTAAATAAGGGCCTTAAGCTATTGTAAGAGAATGGTTGATTAATATATAAAAATTGTTTTCCAATCTTGTGTTCTTCTTGAGAGAGGACGAGAGTGAGATTCCTATGGGGAGGAATCGAAGTTTTCACCAGCCGCAGGATGGGTCCGGGCTCGTGATTTGAAGTCCCTTGGGGAAGGTCAAAGCATCACCCGTCAGCCTTTGGAAGAGTCCGAGGCTCGCGGTTTTCATTTTGATTTTCTATCTTTCGTTTTATCTTTGTTTTGATTTCTTCCTTCTTCTCTCTCCCCGTCGTTGTTTTCATTTTCTTCCTCCTCCCTTCTCAACCCCTCGGCCAAACCTCCATACCAAGCTCCACAAAATTCCCCCTCACCCGCCGACCACTTCCCCCATCCACCCGTGAATCTTCCCTCCCCCTTTCCTAATTTGGGTTGGCAAAATCGAGAGGGAAAATCCATGACAATTTGGATTTTCAAATTTCAAATTCGAAATCTTTCCTAATTGGTGTTCCTCCCATCAATTCCCTTTAATGCTCTTTTAATTATTTCCTAAACCCCAAGGCCTACCTTAGGAAATAATTCTGAATCTTCCTGCTGTCTCCCGTGACCGAAATCTGCATGAATAAAGGCTTGATTCGTTCTTAAAAGGAATATCTCCATCAGAGATTTAAATCAAAGTTTTTTTCTGCCTTTACCACCGCCCCTCCTCTTGCACCCTATCACCGTTAATTATTTTCCATCAGGAGAATAATTCGGAAGGAAGGAATTCTAGTTCCCATCATCCACTGGCTCCTGAACCGGGGATTGGAAGCTTCCTCTCAGCTTTTCTCTTCCTTCACCAAGACGTGAAACTCTTGCAAAAGAAAATTCCTTCAGAGATCTCAAGGCCCCACCGAAATAAGAGCTCTCTTCCTCCCAAAGCTGCAGCCAGACGTCACTACCCATTAATTATCTCCAAACTCTTCTTTTCCAATTTGATTTGGAGCCTTAAACGCTTCCCCACGTCACTAATTCCTAAGGAAAACATTCCGATTTTTTTTTTAATCAGTTTTTTTTGGAAACAAAAATAGCTGAATAAAAAAATCTGAGCTGTTTATTCCTTACCGATTTCAAAAAAATCCGTTTACTTTACTTTGTTCCAACTCACAGTTACTTTGTCCAGACTTCTCCATAGCAAAGCATTTTTCGTTCTACATCATTGTGTGTCATTGACTAGATCTTGTTTGTAAGAAACTTGTCATCTTAATGCTCTGCATTTATGAGCCTTTCTACTTCCTTCTTCCCTCATATCTTAAAACATGCTTTCTATATCACTCCAAACCCTTTCTACCCTTGCTTTCAACAACTCCATCCCTTTACGCCTACCAATATCTATTGTTTTCATACATTCCATTAAAAAAAAATTGAAAATTTTGCTGCCAAATAGAATTCATTGAAGTAGCATTAACTTGTGGAGAGATTAAAATTAAGAATGGTTGATAAGTAGATCAAATTTGGCCACCTACAATGAAGGAATGCATGAGTTCTTGGTCCAAGGAAGTAAACCTTAAATTCCAAACGAGAAAAAGACCAAAATGATATTTTGACTCTTTATGAAGAATCAAAATAGTCCTCAATTAAATTAGAGGACCATTTTGGTCCCTAATGTCTTTAAAATGAATAAATTTCTATAGTGGGATTATTTTTGTTCCTCTTTAAGGGGTTGAGGGACCAAAACGATCCTTTAATGAGACAATTTTTTATCTTTCATAAAGAGTCAATGGACCATTTTGGACATTTTCTCAATTCCAAAATATTCTTTAAAAATGCTAGGTAGCTTGATGTGTGAAATTATAGTGATAACCAACAGAATTAAGTACAACAAATTTAATATGCAAGCCTAAATCACAACTAATTCCCTTTAGTAGCAACCTTAAACTTCTTTATCATGGTTTCCATATAAGGTTCGTGAATTAAGATGCATGGATGATACAAAATGGAGTTGTACAGAAGATGAGGCAAGATGAGCCAAGCCGAGCTGCGTACTACTTTTCAGGATCCTTGTTTATTTTCTTAACAAGCTTGATCCAAGCTCAAACATGAACGTTTTTTTATAATCTCACTCATACTTTTATATTCACTTGTTAATCAAGCCTAAGTTGCAATAGAACTTTAATTTAGCAAACTCAAATTATTTGAGAAGCTAATGATTTAAAGATTAGTCTCATACCAAACTCATAAAAATAAATGTAATTTTATTGGTATGGTTTTTCACATGTTTGAAACTCAAGCATTTATTGGAAAATGTTACCTAATTATTTCTCAACTTAAATTTTAAATTTACACCACTTAACAAATTATATGAAAAATGCATCAGATAAACAAAACTTCATACTAGAATAAGAAATTATTCAGGAAAAAAAGCTACTAAATTAACACAAAATGAGCATTTAAACATTATATTATCTTGTTGAAAAACAAAATGTGTTAAATGAACATATAAATTAACAAGTAAATGCTCAAAATTAATCATTTTATATTCCAAGCTTCATAAATAATGTTCAAGCTGGTTCAAAACTCTAATTAAAAGAACACAAGTAGTGAACCTCTGTTGAATGAATCTCAGACTATTTCTTGAGTGCACCAGCTTGCTACTGTAGTAATTTGGTTAGACTTATAGATGAAGTTAACAAAAATTACTACTGTATCAGTCTGGAACTAACAAGCACTGTCTAGCTACTAGATTTGGTGGTTTTAATGGACTACTTTATCTTCCATTTAAAGCTAAGTTCTTTCACTTCTATCAGAGTAGTTAAAGTATCAAAGTAATACATTGCCTGCTGACGTTTTGGCAGTGCCTGAAGATTGCTCTACTGATTGCAAGAATCTTAGGACCTTCTTCCAATTCCCACCACTGCGATCAACAAGATCATTCTTTGCGCGTTGAGGCAGAGAAGCAAACGTCAGGTGGTTTTCACAGATATGAAATGCAGCAAATTCAATCAAAGAACGGAATTTATCAGGAAAAGCCCCATGGCTTCCCCTGAAAATTCGGCAAGTTGCCTCCAAGGATGCAAGATCTGCAGAGCTGAGACGATCTGAACTCACAATCTCAAGAATCAAATGTGCAGGGAGCTCATCTATAGAAAAGGCACGATTACGTTCTGCCATTTGAAGCTTGCACTTTTCCCTTTGTTACTTATGGCTGTCTAAAACGTCGAAACTCTCCTGATCCAAAAGAAGAAAGCCTTGCACTAACAGGAGATTAGAACCTAGATTGAAGTTACCAATTCATCGGGATGGTAACTGACTTAGTATCTCGATAAAAAAGATACAAAAAAAATACCAAAGCTTAGCAGTCAGAAGAATCAAACCATTAGCTTGCCAGGCAAAAGCAAAGCTTTTTAATCCAAATTTGTAGGGCTAGGAAACATGAAATAATAAGAAAACGTCGGATGGAAGAAGCATACAGGAACCTAAAGACCTATAAGAGAATTCTGAACCAGAATTTGCAAAAAGCATCCAAAGCGCCAATTGCTTCCAGAAAGGAATGAGACGTTGATGAATAGAACAAAACAATCGCATAGATCAGAGCATTACCAGAACAATATCAATAAAGGAATAAACACAAAATCTTCCAATAGATCGAAACGCCAAATATGAGTAGCGAAAGCAATAAGGGCAAGCAACAGAGAGGTATCGGGGCCTTTGATTCAGGAAATTTAGCTAAGAAGGGAAAGATTTACGTAGAGAAAAAAAGGCAAGAAGCTGAAGAAGGCTAGTAAAAGGAGGAGGAGAGGCTGATCCCCTCCGTTTCCCCCGAGAAGCCGAAGCAAATTGCAGGCAATCTTCGGCGCTAAGCTTCCTGCTCTCCTCACTTTTTACAAATGGAGAGAGAGGGGAGGGGAAAGGCAAAATTAAGAACATAGAATAATGGAAAAAAATCAGTAAAAAAAATAAAATAAGAGAAAAAAATTTGACGATGTAATGAATAAAAATTGAATCAGATGGGTCCCACCATGAGTTCCTGAAACGTGTCAGAAGCGCTCATGGCCGTTGATTTTTTCAGCCACCTAATTCTCCGACGTGGACGCCGGCAATAGTATACTAACTGGCTGTGGAACATTCTAGGTGCGCAGTTGCTCCTTTTTTTTTTTTTTAGAACCCGGGGCTTAAAGCCCATATATTAAGAAGCATGAAAAACTATTACAAGAAAACTATGAGTAGAGAACTAAAAGAAATTACAAAACAGCAAAACTAAACAAAATACACAAAGACTAAAGCATAGCCAAAAAGAAGGACATTAGGCAAACAAAAGACTCAGAAAGAAGTCAGCCTCATTCATCATATAAAATCAGTATGAAAAATGATAAATTCCAGGCGGTTGCTCTGGTTGCTCAATACCGAAAACCTGAATCGGGAAATCTGGCCGTCACAGAACCTCCAGCCTCTAAACGAAGATCCACAAAAGCGAGCCGGGTTGCCGCGTAGGCCCTCCTAGGCTCGGAGAGACTGACATTGCTCATCATAGTCTGATTGCCAAACGTCCACCAATTATGCCAACTATAGTCTTTGTAGTATACCCGGGAATTTGAATGAAAAAATTCCGTGTGCGAACTGGAGTATGAGATGAACATCAAAATCTCATCATCCCAAAAATCAGCATCCCAGGTCAGAAGAAAGCCAAAAAACAAAATCTGTGCCAAGGCAAGGCACCTGGAGGAAAAAAGAGTCCCAGCAATCTCGCAATAGAAGTCGTTAGGAATGTAGAGGGAAAGAAACTCCTCCAGCAAAATAGAAAAGCAAAAACAGTGAGTTAAATGCCCGGTAAATTATGTAATTGAATTGGTTTGTCTTTCCATTTTTTAGTCTTCAATCTAATAGCCATTGAAATATTGCAAATAACTTTAGCCACATTGTTTCTAGTGCTAGAGAAACGACGATTTCCCCTTTCCCTCCAAATGTGATAAGTAATGCAGCTGATGGTCAAAAAACACAAATCTTTATCAGATCTATTAAGAGTCATTGAGTTTTCAATAGAGTCCAAAGCCTGGGCCAGAGTCGGCCTAAAAAAGAAACTGGTAAAATCCGGAATAATGTTCTTCAGAATGTGAAAGGAGAAATCACAGTTAAAAAATAGATGGGAATGGTTCTCAGAATGACCCGAGCAAAAGGAGCAGCAAAGAGGCGTTTGGATACCTCTATGAAGAAGGTTATCCGCTGTTTTCAGTTTACCGATTCTAGCCATCCAGGTGTAGCAGGCATACTTGAGAGCATGATTCTTATGCCAAATGTAACTATACCAATCAACCTTGGGTAAATGTGAGTAAAAAAACTCAATGAAATTTTTAAAAACCCAATTAGGCCATATTCTTACTTTTATCGTGTCAGAAATAAACCATACGATTTTTAACGGGTCAGTTTGACACGATTTTCAACCCCCAACACACTTCTACGGAAAGGCAACCCACTAAAGATTCAAACCTGTTAGTAAAAAGATTATTGCAAAAAAGTCAAGAAATTACAAATATGCGTATACTGAAATAGATATTAAACTTAAAAGAATTTAATAATAAATTTGATGAAATAAATACATAACTACATAAATATATAATCAGAATTCTCCAAGCTTTGCAGGCATTTATTCACCTTGCCATACTAAACATTTTTTTCATTAAAAACTGAGTTACTTAGGCTTTGTTTGGGACTGCTTTTCATTTCTTTTTAAAATAGTATTTTAGTATAAAAATTAAAATCTTTATACTTAAAAGCTACTTTAAGAAGCAGCAAGAAAGTCGTCCCAAACGATGCCTTAGTTGCTGGAGCATCATAAAATATTATTGTTGTGCTTGATTTGATTTTGTTAGATTTTAATGGTAGGAGGAAGTTGCAATAAACTGTCATAGTTATAAAGCTAACGTTAGATCATGGATCTATGATTTTATTGCTGAAGCGGAAGTGCTCAATCAGTAAGGCTTCGTTTGGAACGATTTTGACCACTACTTTTTTATCGTTGTCAAGAAATTTTTGCATTAGAAAATAATTTTAGAAAGCACTAAAAAAACTATCCCAAATAAAGCCTAAGCTTAGGCTTCATTTGAGATAACTTTCTTATTGTTTTGTAAAACTATTATAGAGAATATAATTTTTTAAAGCCGTTGTAGGAAGCAACTTTCTAATACATTTATTTTTAAAGCACTGAAAAAAATAATGGCCAAACAGAAATTATAATTGCATTATAAAGAGCAAAATAGTAAGAAAGTTGTCACAAATAAAGCCTAAGGCTTCGTTTGGGATAGCTTTCTTACTGCTTTTTAAAGTGGCTTTTTAATACACAAATTATTAGTCAAATTTTATTTTTTCAAAAAATTTGATTTAAGAAACAGTAAGAGAGTTATCCCAAATGAAATCTAAATTAAAATAGATTGTGTAGTACATTATATGGACAAATGTTGAAGCAATATACATTTTATTAACAAAAAGAAGAGGTACCATAAAATTAAAGGGTGAAGATATAGAAGCAAACATAAATAGCCAAAATTAAAGCTAAACATAGAGCATGAAATAGAATATGGTCTTACAAAAACAACAAAACTAAAAATTGCAAAAGTTTTACCATATCAAGTGTATGTTGTTCATGCATAAACTCCTTCATTAATTGCTTGGATAATTTTTTAATATTGATTATTCAATATAATCATATGTTGAAAAAACATACGAAATTTAATTTAAATATTGAGAGTGTAGAAATAAAAAAGCATAAAAGAAGATTAATTAATACATAAAAAATGTAGAATTTTAGACAAGTAATCCAATTAATTCTTATGACATGTTGGCTCATTGTAGGTTTTCATATGATTTGATTGTGGAGAGTTACACCTCTAATTTTTTTGGTATAGCACAATCAAACACTGATCCATAGCTAAATATACCAAATGTGTTTTTCCTTAGGGTAAGTATTTGATGACTACTTAATAAGATAGTCGTTGTTGTAAGCGGATAATGGAAGGAAAATAGACGATCATTTTTAGGTCCTCAAAACATTTGAAAAGAACCATTTATATTATTGAATATTCAGATTTCAAGTGCCAACTCCTGAACATTGCGTAAAATTATCGAGCATAACTTTGCCTTACGAAAAAATTGTTTCGCAAAAATTATCAGGGTTCCTACATTTTATTATGTAATTTTATAATATTCTTTTGAAAGTCTAGTTTATTTTCCTTACAAATTGGATACAGGTGCATTTTATATCATATAAGAGAAGTTAACGTATTAATTCTACACGATCAAATCATAGTGAAATCTTACTCTATATTTTTGTAAATTTTATCTATTTCCTAACATTTGGTTCTTTAAATATTTAAAAATAAAATTAAATATCGATCCCTGCAATCACAAAATGATAGAAGAAATTAAAGCCATCAAGATTCACGTTAAGCTAGATTCTTCACCGGCAATCTTTAGCTGTGTTATAGGCTTTCGTGGGAAATCTGAATGTGTCAATCAATCGAGTTATAATATTGACTCATATCTCAATTTTATCAGTCAAACTCGGTGGGACCTCCCTCTGGAGGTCTTCTGTAAATTTTTTTACAGCCTTACAATACTATATATTAAAATGTTGTAACACTACACTTTTCTCCCTCTCTTTACTCCCACTCCTCAATTTTACAAGATATTTAATATGCATAAGCTTGCCAACGAAATAGTATGGGTTTCTCTTAAAGGGCGAATTATTACGTCCGGTCACCGGACGTCCGGACACCCAATCCAAACGCGCCACGTCATCTGAATACATTAGGTCCCGATGTATTTTGGTGACGTGACGTATCTGAATTGGTGTCTGGATGAATCCGGACACCGGACGTAATAATTTGCCTTCTTAAAGGCCATCACTTTTTTTTTACAATTTTAACGCCGAACAAATCGAGGCAGTCATATTGTACAGTGAAAGGCACTATTAACGAATGTGATTACTCTTTCCATTCTAACTTAGAGAATGTCCCGTGGTTTAAATTCATTTGGCATAAAGGTTTTGCCTTACGTTATGCCTCTTTTACTTGGATGGCTGTTAAAGGTAAACTTAAAATAGCGGATATTCTCATTTCTAGGGGGATTGTTGTGGCCCCCTCTTGCTCTTTCTGTCTTGGCAACATTGAATCACATTCTCATGTGTATTTTGAATGTGATTACTCTTTCTTATTGCTTACTGCTCTTTTTCCGGATATGGTGAATTTTTACCTGAGGCCTAATCTTATTCAAGTCTTTGATCATTTTGGGACCGTTCGGAAGTATACCAAAACTGATCAGAATTTCTGTTATTTTACTGTGGCTGTTTTGGTGTATTACCTGTGGAGAGAAAGAAATAATAGACGATTTTCTGGGGTTTGGAGAAATCCTGATGAGCTTAAAAGAGTTATTTTTCAAGCTATTTGTGCTAAAGTTAGGAACTGGAAACATTATGACTTGCTTAAGGAAACTTTTGGGCAAATTCTAGGCTGATCTTCTCATTGCGGTCGGCTGGCATATTTTTTGGAAGGCTGATGTTTGCATTTCTAGTTATTTTTTTATCCCATTTTGGGATACTTCTGCTTGTTGTACGCCACAGGTTTATATTACTGTCAATTTTTGGCATCCTCGTTTTGATTCCCAAAATCCTGGAGTTCTGGTGGTTTCTCTTCCCCAGCCTCTTCATGTGCTGCTTCGTATGGATGCTTGCAGAAATGGGACGATGATGTGTCAGATCTACATCTTCATGCATCCTTGGATGGTCTTATGGAAACCAGGAATGTTTTATCTGGGCATTGTGATGGCCCTTCATTCGGATATGGTGGGCAACCAGTGTCTATCTGCTGCTTGGTGGGTTCCCGTTTGAGCTTGGCTTTGATGCCTTTTGATATAGATCTATTTTCCTGAGTCCTTTAGTTTCTGCAATTCTATTTTTTGTAATCTTTGTTTCTTTTGGGGGGGTATAGTTTTTCTATACTTGTAACCTTTGGTGATTAATTTAAAGACGTTACCCCAATTTTTCCCAAAAAAATTTGAAATAGATGAGAAGCTGTCCTATTGTGTTGTCGCCGCATAATTTTACTGGAGTTGAGCAGAGCTCGCATGCCAAAGGAACCATTTGTAATGTAACATTTTACCAGTAAGTTATAAAGTTGAAATGATCAAAATATAGCGCACAAAAATTAAATTGGATCTATTTATCATTTCCTACCAGAAAAAAAAAGTGTATCTATATTTAAAAATGGTCTAACATAAATATAATCAAATGATTTGAATTATTTATCAAATGGATTAAAATTTTTAACTCGAATTCAGCTCAAATAAAAAAAAAAGGAATTATTACGAGTGACAATTAGAAGAAAAAAATTAAAAGTATAAATTAATATAATTTAAAATCAAATAATTTAATAATTAAATGCTTATTTTTTAGCCGACTGAACCAACATTATTTGAACTGACTCAAAATTTTCGACTTATTTTAGTTGATCTAACCCGATCCTAATTTTATAAGAGTTGAGTCAAATCTAAAAAAAATTTATTAGTGATACATCATCAAAAATTTATCTTGATCAGGCATGAATCCCGAGGCAAAATCAAGTTGGAAACTTTCGAGATTAAAATTGGACCATCCGAACTCTGATTTCAACAAACTTATAGTCAAATAGAACGTCTTGGAAATACGAACCCGACGACACCAAATTCGACTCAATCCGAGCTCAAATGGGTCCAAATCAAGCACCCAAAGTGCTCTTGAAAGATTCAAACCAAAATTTGGATTACCAAATAGTTTCCAAACGTTGCTTATAGTCGAATCGAGCGGCTTGACGAGACAAATCCAACGAGCCCAGGATCACGGAATTTCGAGATCATTAAGATCTTAAAATGTCTAACAAACGGTTCGCAAACAAGTGATTCATCATTGGCCGTCCATCCAAACCACTCTTCATTTGCCCTTGATCCTCCTCCTATTTACGGGTCATGCCACTCTAGTAAATCTATAAATAGGCCCCTCATTCCTCTTGAAAGGAGGCTCCATGCAAGAGAGCAAGAGAGAGTTTGGAGATCGCTCCTGTCCCCTCACTCCTCGACCACCACCTGGAGTTCAACCGGACCACCACTTGAGGCTTGTGTTCTCCCGGACCACCACTGAAAGCCCTGAGTTCCGCCGAACCACCACTTGAGACCCTAAGCTCTGCCGGACCATCACCTGAGGCCAAAGTTTCACCAGACCACCACTGGAGGCCCCGAGTTCCGCCGGACCACCACTGAAGGCCCTGAGTTTGTTGAAGTCTTTATTTGGTTAGGAAAGCCATCACCACTATAATATAAGAATCCTTATGGGTGATGTTTAATCTAACATCTTCAAAAAAAATCAACGTCAACTCATCGACCCTTTCCTCCTCCAACTTCTATTTAATTTATTAATTTCTCCTTTGAAGATTACATCGATCGATGTTATGCGAAACACTTTTATAAGTATTCATCTATAATTATCCACCATAATATAGTTATATGGAGAGTCGATGGAGAATTATGTGATAGTTCTTCGTGTCTTTGGAGGCGAGGTTTCAATAAGTTCCTTAAATTTGCCTTTTTTTTGTGCTAGGGAAGAAAAATCTTATAATAATCATAATGAAGTTAAAAATTAGTAAATTTATTTTGATTAAAATATATACAGTATAAATTACATATAATAGAAATCTTAAAATAAATTTAATAATTCTAAAACACGTTCTAATTAGAATTATATCAATAAATGCTGCCATAATTTTTTCTTCTAATAATGAGTCTCAAAAAAAGAAGGAAAAAAAAAAGTGAAATAGAACAAAAAGAAGATGACGAAGAAGTGGGTAAAGATAGTAGAAAAGTGATCTGCAGCTTCAATGCCAGGCAGAGGCGACATTGATAACTCGGCCCATCCAACCGCAGGCGACCCGCCCATCCTCCTCCTTTACCATAAACCCGGGATTATTACCGAGCGAAGCGAGCCGGAGCTTAACGGTCTCCACCACCCCCGGCCCAAGCTGAACCGGTTTGAACCCCGCCATTCCTAATCGTGCCTTCCATTTGCCGTACACTTCGCATCGCTCAACCCGGTCCGCTCCTTCCCAGGCCACCGAGTTACAAGCCTTCCGGGCCAGGCAGGCCTCCACCCGGGCCCGCTCGTTACTCTCCTGGCCCACGATGATCGCCTCCATTGACTCCAACAACGCTCCGTAATGCGCGCAGGCTTCCGCGAATCTAGTTGCGAACGGCGCCGTGTTGCCGTTCATTTCTTGCTCGACTAGAGTGACCACCTTTGGCCCGAGGGCCTTCACTCGCCGGAGAAGCTCGTCACGAGGGTTCGCCGGTGATACGCTCTCGTCGGCGATGCGGGAGAGAAGAAAGGCGAAGTTGACCACCAGGGCTTCGTCTGTTCCGCAGTCCAACGCAGCCCGGTCGAGTTCAGTAGTTCTGCGGTTCACGATGCTGAACCGGAGCCCGATACCTAAACCCTCCGCGAGCTTCGCCAGCTGGTCGCCGACGAGGTTTAGATTGCCGACGAGGGAGTTGAAGGGGAAGGTTGGGTCGCAAAAAGCTGTGATTTTAACGGAGATATGGCGATGGCGTTCGGCAAGGGAGTGAAGAGGGAAGCCAACTGCAAGCCTTGGCCGACGTCGAAATCGATGATGTGGATCTTGGGATGGTCTTTCGTTGCTTCGATAATGGCTAGATTCGCCGTCATGAGCGCAAGTTTGAAACAAGGAGCAGCTTCGTAGAGCATTTGGGAAGAGGTCAGGTGCTCAGGTGTGAATATATCTGATGTTACAGCGATAGTCGCCGGATCTCGGGGGTTGATGCGCAAAGCGAGAGCGGTCACCATCATGGCCGTGAGCCTCTGTTCTGGATTTCCGAGTTTGTTCGCCGCACCCTTCAAAAGAGCGATATTTGCCGCGGCGGTGTCAAGATTCCCTGCTGAAATAGCCGTGGCGGTGTCGAGGAGCATCTGTCTTGTTGAAGCGCTCGAAGAGGACGAGGACGAAGAAGACGAGGAGGTTGGAGAATTAGATAGAGGCTTTTGCGGGAAGATGAGCTTCTGCATCGTTTCGCTCCACTCGCTGTTCGTGACCGCAGAGCCATCAGAGACACTCAACTCGTCATCCTCATCATCAAGGAGCTGCCTTTCAAGTTGCAGAAGTAGATTCGTGATCGTAGATTTCTTCTCCAGCTCCACCGAGGCTGACGCCGGAAACGACCAAGATGTGAACTTTAAATTTCCCTGCCCTCGAAGCGGAATAGAGGCAGACGACAAAGATGACTGAATCGAAGAAGTTGGTGAAAGAGCAGAAATTGGCAGCTCAAGATGATTCTTTTGCTTTACTGACCGAACAAAGACAGGGTTTTGCGCCTCCTGCTCCGTCATCAGTGACCTCTTGAAGAGCCCGCCGGTGGATTCGACCCCGAACCTTAAAGCTCCCCGGGGATCGTCACGCCCTGGGAACTCAGACGTCATGGCGGCGACGTCGGCGGCTACTCAGTAGAACTCAAAAGGCCGGAACTTTGGTCTGCAAATCGCTCGCGGTGGCGACAACAGCAGCTTTTTCTTCAGCTCCAAACCAGAGAAAGCTCAACTCGCTAATAAAGGCGCAACCTTTTTCTATCTTTCTTTTTATTTAATACATTGGATTGCTTCCTCCATCAGCCGTCATTTGTTAATGAAATAATTATCTTATAACACGAATGGAGTATCTGTAGGAATAATACAGAAGGAAGAGATCTTGACATACTTCCTTCTCCGGTTCGTCGTCAATGTGAAAAACCGGTGATTGCCGGTGAGAAGGCCCACCGCCACACCGGTGGTTGCCGGTGAGGAGGCCCACATCCACATGGCGGTTCGCGGAATCCGGCACCTCATTCAGGGTTGCAAAATTTAGCAAGGCCACGTTGCCGATGTATTTGTCACCCCTACTCCTTCCTTTTTCTAAAACGCAGCAGACTGAACAATGAAATTCTGCCACTTATTATTATTATTATTGTTGTTATTGTTGTTGTTATTGCGTCCTGAAGTATTCACGGCGGTAGAGAAATATATAGTTTAACGTCTTAACGTTGTATGAAAATCCAACACACATTCAGATAACAGAGAGAGGGTGTTGTGCTCATAAGAGACATCAGAGTTTTTACGTGGAAAAACCCCGAAAAAGGGAGAAAAGCCACGGGGCCTAGCCCAGTTTGAATGAATAAACTAGTATTTGCAATCAATTACAAATGAGGCCCTTCTTAGAGAGAAGACCTTGGCTTGATATCACACAAATATACGTCATATAAATTGTATTATATGGTGGGAGTTACAATAATCAATATATACACGTTTGATTGGTTGGAAGGGTCATAATCGGTACGAGACAAGGGTCTGAAAGACTGTAGTTGACAGGAGACAGGGGTCAGATATATCGTTGTCTGGCGATAGAGGTCGGAAGGACCGTAGCAGGTGACGGAGGTTGAAAGGACCATAGTCGGTAGGAGACAGAGGTCCGGAAGACCGTAGTTGGCGAAAGACCGGGGTCAAAAAGACTGTAGAAGTAGGGCAGTACTCCGGTAGAAGTCTGGGCTTCAGACGATGGTCTGTTAGAAGTCCGAGCATCAGATGATGGTCTAGCAGAAGTTTGGACATCAGGTGGTGGCCTAGTGGAGCATAAGGCCTCAAGCGGTGGTCCGGTGGAGCAATGACGTCAGGTTGTAGTCCGACGTTGAAACAACGTCAAATGATGGTCCGGTGGAAGTGAGTGCCTCAAGTGGTGGTTTAACAGAACCTAGGGCATTAGGTGGTGGTCCGACGGAGCTCAGGGCCTCAAGTGGTGGTCCAGCGAAGCTCAGGACCTCAAGTGGTGGTCCAACGGAACAACGATGTCAGGGGGTGGTCCGACGGAGGTGAGGGCCTTAGGTGGTGGTCCGGCGGAGCAACGACGTCAGGCGGTGGTCCGGTGGAGCTCAGGCGGTGGTCGAGGAGGAGCTTCTCTCTTCTCTTATTCTCTTCTTGCTTGGGTCCCCTTTCAAGAGAAATGATGGGTCTATTTATAGATTTATAAAGTGGCAAGGTCTATAAATATGTGAGAGATCAAGGGTAAATGGGGAGTGGTTGGATAGATGGCTGGTGTTGAATCCCTTAATCATGGACCGTTTGATGGACATTTGAATGTCTTACAGATGTCGGAATTCAGTGATCTTGGGCTCGTTGGATTTGTCTCGTCGAGCCGCTCGATTCGACTATATGTAAGTTATGTTTGGAAACTGTTTGGTAATCCAAAATGTGGTTCAAACCTTCCAATAGCTCTTCTAACCCTTGATTTGGACCTGTTTGGGCTTGCATCGGGTTGGATTTGGTGTCATTGGGTTCGTATTCTTGAGTCACTCTGTTCGACTATAAGTTTGCTGAAATTGGAGTTCGGATGGTCCAGATTTAAATTTTGGTAGTTTCCAACTCGATTTTGCATTGAGATTCGTGCCCGATCAGCATAATTTTTTGATAACGTATCAATTATTATTATTAATATTTTGGAATATTAACGGCGTAGCCCAACTTCATTCACTATAAGAAAAAATTATAATCTGAAAATAAAAATATCACAAAAAAGTTATATCCCACGGAGAAGTAAAAACAGTAAAAAAGGAGAAGATACTCTCTAAACACAAAATAAAAATAAAGAAAAATAAACACACAAGAAAGGGCATTTGAGCAACAATCCAAATCTTGGACTAAGAATGCCTAAAAAAGTTGAAAACTCAAGAATTACAAGATCAGACATTTCAAAATGTCCCCTGGTTGCCACATGAGCTATCATAGAATAAGTAAACAGATTGCCACATTGACCATCTGCAGGGACTGCTTGGAGCACGAACGATATTTATCATCGTAAAAAAAAAATATATCTTTCTCATCAAGAATAATGACCAGCCAATGTGCAAAATAGGGGAAGAAAGAAAAACAACTAAACTAATCCAAAAAAAATAACAACCCAACTAAACTAGCACAAAAATTAATCATATGTATAATCTCTAGTGCATTTTTCCAAGTGCCCACTTTTATTGATATCATAGGTTCTCTAATTTTAAAGCAAATAGTAGAGGAACTATATATAAAATTTTGGAATTTTCTATCATTCCCATCTCTCTTCATATAAAATAAACGGAGCAATAAGAAATAAATTAAAAAAGTCTTCTGATTAAAACATAGGTATTACTTAGGCATATTCAAAATATAGTAAAATTTTTGCAACAAAGTAGTCCTAAATAGAACTGAGCACATTTGAGAGATTAAAACAAAAATTATAATAAAAGAGAAGTCACACTCAAAGAATATGTGATTGTGACTTTCATTAGCATGATTGCAGAGGATGCGAGAAGATGACACTTTAAAGCCCTTAATTTAAACCATGGTACAGTGATATAATCGTCATAATAATGAGCCGAAATGTTTTGAAAGACAATATTATCAAAACTAGCCCAACAAATAATAGAAGAAATAAATCAGAACCATAACCAACATTAGAAATAAGAAAAGTAATCACAATAGGTAAATTGGAAGGAAAGTTCTAACCATAAGTAGGATTGCAAATCTGCATATTGTGGAAATTCCTTAACAAAGCTGATTCGAATATCTCATAGAAAGCTTTTTTTATTGCTCCACAATTCTCATATAAGAGAGAGCTTGTTGTTTGTGTGGATATTTAGTGAAATATAATTCCTGATTTTGATGGCTATAGAGTAGATAAACTTTCAATATTTGGAGGCTTTGGGCAAGGCTTTCAAATAGAGGTGTATTCATGTTTATACTAATTAGCAAGCAAATTATCGCCGTTACAAATGTGGCAAATGATAAAACAAGTATATCCATAGTGCAAAGCATGTATACTAGGGATACCAAGGCCACCCTTATTCTTATGCAGATCCAGGAAGTCCAAAAAGAGTAACAAGAAGCCAGACAATTAATATCTTTAAGAGAAAACTTGAGGGTTGGACTAATAGGATTCTTATTTATTTGTTGAAGATAAAAATTATGGGATTGCTGTGGATTGCTGTTAATCCACAATATCTTCTGAAATAAGGTTGGAAGAAATTCAATTTTTAGATTTTATAATGCCTTTTAGTTTCTATAACTTCTACCACTCATCGTAATGCCTAAATATGGGTTTATATTTAGGTTGATGATGAAAATTCATTAGAATTATATTTTTTAAGGAAAAAAATTAAATCATCATAATCAAACTAAATATTTATCATTGTATGTTTTAAAATTAGTAAGTTTATTTTAAAATAAATATAATATATTATGTGGTAGATTTTATATAGGAGCATATACTAAGTGAAATAATTTTTTCAAAAGAGTAAAATTATTACCGATTTGGATTTTATTATTGACACAATTTCTTTTATTATTGATTTGGGTTTTGCTTGGGACAATTAAAGCAATTTTTTTAGTATTTGGGGATATTTAGACCAATTAAAACAAACTCATTCACACAACACATACACAAAATTCGGACACAAGAATTTTTAGTTGGTAGCCAAAGCTCCCAATCAACATACTAAGTTGATGTGATAACTCAAAATTTTGAAAAAGATATTTATCTGAAACAATCAAGAATTTATTTAGGAGTTATTAAGAGTCCAAATCACAAATCATCTTCGCCATAATATATTTATTATTGTGTTTTAATTTCATTAATTTTTTATAATTTTTGAGCAAAGGTGATATTCCTTTTGTTGTCAAGCACTATTATAGATAGATTTCAGATTGTGTATATTTTTGGATGATATATAAAAAATCATTTTGAGTTTTAATAATCTTACACTTTATATTGCATTATGTAGTGGCTCTATATAGTATATAAATCAGAATTTTTTTTCATTACTTCTCCAACTAGATCTTGGGGTCAATCTTGTCACAATCAGATAAGGTATGACCTGTGCAATTGTAGGTCATATTAGGTTAGGTTGTGACAGGTGAGCTACGTAAAGTAATTTTTTAGTATAATTTTTTTTAAAGTAAGGCTTCATTTAAAATGGCTTTCTTATTACTTCTTAAAAAAAGGTTTCTAATACAAAAATTGTCATCTCAAATAATGCCTAAAAGGTTGCTTTTACCAAGCTTTAATACAACAGCAACAACATCAAGCCTTTATCCCACTACGTGGGGTCCGCTACATGAATCCTTTTTCTCCATTGTGTCCTATTAAAGGTCAAATTCTCATTTAAATCTAATAAAGAAAGGTCATTCCTAATATTTTCTAACCAAATCTTTTTAAGTCTACCTCTACCTTTATCATTAATTAAGCTTACTAAAAATATGAATCGCCTTACTAAAAATATGAATCACCTGCCAATTGCAGCTCTGTACCTGCTTTTGGGTTAATTTTTTAAGCTTAATGTCTTGGCCTTATGTTTCAATCCTTGGGGTTAAAAATGTAAAAGAAGTATCAAAAGTGCCAGAGTTCATTGGAACTGGCAAGTGGAAACTGCATATATTTTCTCTTTTGAAACTTTTTATTTGCATATGTTAGGGTTTCCATTTGCCAAGGTATTATTTTTAATAAGGTGAACTGGTAGGATTTTTTACTTTATATTAGCAGCAATTAAAGAAATATGTCAGAAGTTGCAATAATTCATCATATAATTAGAGGTATAAGAATCTACTGATCTATATAATTGAAGATGAAATTATACAATTATTTGATTATACTTGTAAGGATTATAGAAGTTGAGTGTCCACGGGAAGAAATTTGAAGTTTAATAACGGTATTACATGTTAGAGTCATATAACAGTAGCTAGATGACGGAAGTCAAATGATGGTGGTGGTGATTAATGATAGTGGTCATTGGCGATGATTGCAAAAAATATATAAAATTATTTAAATATCTCAACTCTCGAACCTCCTTCATGAGAAAAACGAGACCCTATTTTAAACTTTGTAGGAGAGGTATTTTGATAAATTATATTAGAATTCAAAACATTATATTGAAAGATTTAAATTTATCCTCTTGATCATAGATTGTTAATCCATTATTTAAGCGCTTTAATGATATTAAAATTGAATGATCATGAGCTTTACCAATATCCGCAACTCTTATTGACAATGTTATTTATCATTGCCAATACCATTACCATTACTAATGCCCTTATGTGCATTAGGAAAATAGTTTATTGGATTATAGTTTTTATTCTAGTTAGTACATTAACCAAGCAGGGTGTTAAGGATGATTGTCTACGGGAAGTTGTAGGTAAACTCGATTTGTAGTGGACACCCTAGATAGTCAATTTTCATCAAGTTTGGGCAAGCTTGGTTAATTTGGTTATCCAGGGTTAAATAATTTGGCCAACCTAATTTGGATAGATTTATGACAAATTATAATTTTTAATTAAGTTAATAAATCAGGTCCGATTGACTGTAAAATAGATTAATTTCATTTTAGGACTTTGTGGATTCAATTAGGTCCAATTGGATTTAGCTTAGTCTAAACTAGGTTCACAAAACATAATGAGTTATATTGACTATAATTGGGTAAAAAGGAAGTATATATTTACTTAGGTCTAGCATAGCTGAGGATGGTTACCTTTTAAAATCTAATGGATGAAATGTGTACCATTAATTCTATTTTTGTTTACTCAAGTTTAGTTGGGTCTTAGTGGGGCTAACTTATGTTTATCCAGGCGTTGTAGGACCCAAGAAGTGTCTATGGTCACCTAGGCATAGGTTTAGGGTTCAATTAGCTTTAAATTAACATAATTAACATTTAAGTCACTTTGAGTCCTAATGGCCCTATTAAATCCTATCAAATGCATTCAGGCTCAGCCTAATCTATGCTAGATTGAAACTGGTTTTAAGGTCCTATTAACCATTGGTAAATCTTATTTAGCATGTGGTAGTCTAAGTTGGTTATCTAAAATCTGGGAGATTTGTTATCTTGTTGGTTCTTATTGGATTAATTTAGAGGTGTTGATGTTGGTCTACGAATGATATCTAATGATGATGACAAATGACATTAATATTATTATATTAATAGTGTGTAATGGCGGTGAAGTGAAGATAAGTGTTGATATTGATAGGTGGACAATGTTAAGTTATAGCAGGTCAATGGTGGTGGTCATCAGTATTGGTCGATGACTAATCTCAAGCAGTTGTGACATAAATAATTAATATTTATGCAGATGGTTTATGGAGGTCGATATCAAAGTCTTGAAATTCTCTAAGTAGTGGATTCCTCTTCGCAATAAATTTTCCATTTAATGTATTAAAATACAACCTATTTACAAATTTATAGAAGATATATTATGTGCATTTCTATCAAAGATATGGAACTATTCGATAAGTCAAAGTTGCCTTTTTTTCAGTAATGAAATTAGTCGGCAAACTGTCTACTAAAAGCACCACCAGTATCCAATTTCCATTAGCTTTTCCTTTAAATGGGCCGGGCTAAAAATCCCATTGGACCAGCCTAAGGCACTAATCCATAAAGCTCTTTCAACCACGATATTTTTTAATGGATAAAAAAAATTATGTGCTCCTAATAAAAATTCAGATTAAGAAATCTTAATCAACTCTTCATCTGTAATTAGAATTAGATAAAATGAATTATTATTTAGTTTATAGTGTAGGTGGAGAGTGATTAGGATATTGATTGGAAGCTCCATCCTAATCACCCCCTTCATTTTATTTCGTAATGTTGAAAGAATAAATTTTACAGTAATAAAGCTCCTCACGAAGCAAAAAGATGCATGTTATTAAAATATATTAAGCTAACATTATATATATATATAATCCATGAATATTAAACACAAAATGACCTAAACCAAACTATCCAACACATTTTACACTAATAATAATTTTTTTGTTCAAAACTTGAGGCGTTTAGAGTCATCATGACCATGGCATTCCTGATCTCAGGTGAGAAATCTTCTTAAAAAAAAAAAAAAAGTTTAAAGCTCTATTAAGGAAAAGTCTTTTATGGATTAATTGTTGCAAGTTTTTGAAAAAGAACCACAAAAAATCTCGTCCAATACAAAACACACTGAAGGCCTCGTTTGGGACGGCTTTCTTACTACTTATTAAAGCATCTTTTTAGTACAAAAATAAAAAAAATTATACAAAAAATCTATTTTAAAAAGCAGCAAGAAAGCCGCTCCAAACGAAGCCGAAGAATCCTAGTTAGAATCTATAAAAATACAGAAAAACCTCAACCTCCAAAAAAAAAAAAAAAATATTGATGCATGCATTGTTCACAGAAACGTAAAGAAGCAATATCAATGAGTTTATAAGATGAACTAGTATATAATACTTGGCTTGTGTTTCAAGAAATAAGACACAAGCTGTGAGGTTGTTCGATCCCTTTTGGGATGAAATCAAGAACTGCTTCTTTGGTTGGAAGTGAGGGAATTGCTCCCCTCCCAGTGACTGTAATTGCTCCGCATGCATTGGCGAAGACGAAGGCTTCCTTTAGTTTCTTCTCATCCTGTTAACGTGTTCTTAGCGTTAAATCTTACAAACAAAAATGGAATTTTGATTTGCAAAGGAGATTTTTTAGACAGAAATAGAGAACTGTATCAACTGTACACCGAGGAGAATGAGAAAGAAAGATAAAGAAAGGTGGTGTTTGTAATTGGAGTGAGAGAAGTAAAACTAGTAAAACATATTCAAATATTCGCATAGAATTCTTATAAAAAGATTAAGCTTGCTCAGAAAAAAATTGATTAAGGTTTCATTTGGAATTGCTTTTTGGTTTTTTAAAGCAACTTAAAAGTTGTTTTAGAAAACATTAAGGAAGCTGCCCCAAACTAAACCTAAATGTGAAATCGAGGATGCTATCCAGAATGGCAATGGTTATTAATTTGAAGAAGAAGAAACTCTAATGTATATTTGATAAGGAAAATTTTTGATTTTAATGATAATAGCAAATGTGGCTTAGTATATTTAAGTTTTTCCATGAAATGAACATAATTGCTTTTGAAGTCTGTGTCAACGTGATTTATGGAATGTATCTAAGGCTCACCTTAGGACAAGTTTTTTACTGCTTCTTAAAACAGTTTTTTTAGTAGAGCAAATAAAATTTGTATATTAGAAAAATGCGTTAAGAAGCAATAAGAAAGTCGTCCCAAATGAAGTCTCGGTGAGGTGAGTAATACCATGAGTTAAATCTGGAATAGGAATATGAATGTTAGCAAAAAATAGTTTATAAATGATAACTTCATAATTTTGCAATGAGGAAATTTATATAGAATGCTCTACTTTCTCCTATTTCTAGCAATAACATCTGATTTCAATTTTATAATAAAAATCCTTCTTGGATTAGTTCTTTTAAAACTCATTAAGTTAAAGTAAAAGAATCACCAGCACCAGTAGTATCCACAGCATTAACTCTAAACCCACCAACTCTCCCATGGAATTTCTGCTCTCACAGATCAATAAAATGTATCAGAGCAGTAATATTAATGACCCTTTTCTCCAATTGATGACAAGTGTAATATTGACATATACCTTGGTGTAGTATCTGCAACCTTTTTCTCCTTCGGTGACAACAAGGAGTTTGAGGTTGTCGTGAAAAAGTTTATTATACACAACCTCATCACTATAAGGATCTTCATCTCCAGTCAAAAATGAGATTTCCTGCTCACTCACCTGTCAATATTATATCAGAAATCAGCATACTAGAACTGAATTCCTAAGAGGAAAGAAAAAAAAAAAATAAACTTTGGGTTGTTTGGCTACAAGTAAGGACTTAACTCGAGTGGGATTAAGAATCCCTTCTTTATAATTCTGTTTTTAAAATCACATTTCTATGTTTTGCTGCATTTCATAAATTAATGTGGTGAAAAAGTAATGTTTTTATAATCAAATTTGTTTTGTTGTAATAGCTGCAAAAACAATGTGTTATGTAACATAAAAAAATTATTTGATTATATTTTTTCAAAGATTCATGCTAAAGTAATGTGAATGATGGGATTTAACAAATTTAAGATTTAATAAATAATAAGCTGAAATTAGATTCATCAAAACAGAAAAATTTGAAGTCCTGAAACAGGATACAAAACCAAACAACCCCTTAATCTAATAAGTTTGAGGTGAAGCTAAAGATGAGACCTTGATGACATCTGCGTATTCCCAGATGCTTTTAATGCCCTCACGAGCAGCATCTGCTGAAGGCCAAAGTGGAAGTCTCAGATTAGGATCATAGGAAAGAAGGAGACCTTCCTTCTTGGCAAACTTAAGAGCAGCAAGATGAGTTGATCTGCACGGCTCCTCGATCAAGCTAATGGAGCCATAGTGAAATATGGAACCCTGTATTTCATTTAATTTTATTCATCATTAAACTTGAATTAATGAAGGTAAAAGAAAACTAACAACAGTTATTATATATACCTTCTTGATGAGATGAAAATCAAGCTCGGATTCTTTCAGGAGCATATCGGCGCTTGGATTTCGGTAGAACATGAACTCCCGTTCGCCGTCGGCCCTAAGAGTCACAAAGGCTAGTGCAGTTCTAGCGCCGGTGTCGAAGCAGACACCGGAGTAATCCACATTGTTGATCTTCAAAATGTTGGACAGCATATGCCCGAATTCGTCGTCCCCAACCTGTTTGATGAAATGACGAAACCAATGAGGATATGCTTTCATTCGTAGCCGTTGGAAAGGGTAAAACAAAATTTCAGATATAAATTATATCAAAAAATTAGTAAATTTATTTTGAAATTAATATCATTTTAATTTTTTTTTCAATAATATTACGACATATTCATTCATTTTTAAATTCATTTTGCTATAATTTATATTAGTATATTTTAATAGTAATTTATTCCATTAGTTTAATAATTACAATAGAAATAATATTCATAAACTGCATTATAATTAACTATAAGACCTTACGTAAAATTCCCCAACAGATTATCCGGATTTTTATTTTAACAACTGCGATATCTTAAAAATCCAGTATCTGTTGGTCGTCCAACAGACCAAATGGACGAATGGATTTTCACAATGCTTACAGGATTACCTTTCCGATGAAAGCAGAGGAACCACCAAGCCTGGCAATGCCGACGGCGACATTGGCCGGGGCGCCGCCGGCGGCCTTCTTGAATGCCGTAGCCTCCGCAAGAGAAACACCGGAGACAGTCGGGACGAAGTCGATGAGCATCTCGCCGAAGCAAATAATGAACGGGCTTTTCTCCCAATTACCAGAATCGTTCTTAGCCATGCTTACACTTCCACGTTGAGAAACAAGAGAAGATAGAGAAAACAACAATAAGATCAAGCAGATGAAGCACCGTGAATGTTTATGGAACAGATTCAAGCGAGACATTGCGATGTAGATATATATAGGCGAAGAGGGAGAATGAACGGAATGCCATCCCTTTCGTGGTGGCAGCGCTTCGAGAGCGAATCTTTGCTATTTCAGCTGAGAAGATTGGTTTGTTTGGCAAATTTGCATGCCAACTGTTCGATCAAAGGTCGCAAAGAGGGTTTTCCGCATAACCCTGAACTTCTGTTATGCCTTTTTGGGTTGCAGGGTAGCTGGAAGAGTCTAAGGAAAGGATTTGTGATCTATTTTCGATAAAAAGGGACGATAACCGGTGGCTGAGAGGTGGCGATTTTCCTGCCGCGGCGACATTTCAATTGGGGGATTACGTGCGGTTTCATGCCAATGAGATAAGCCTGGTGACGCTTAATAATCACGTGTTTGTTAGGATAAAATTATATTAAATTTTTTATATTTATTTTTTAGGAGATTTACGGATAAACCACTTTATATCATTCTATTTACATATCTAATATTTAAAATTTTATTATTTCATACCTACCATCAGTATAATCTTATAAACTTTAATATTTTATTTATCGCACCTATATTCATTCTGTAGATGAGGCATGAAATATTTAAATTTTATATATAAGACATGGGATATCTAAATAATATGATTGATACATAACAAAAAATTTATCTTGACCGGGCATGAATCTCGAGACAAAATTTAGCCGAAAACTTCAAAAAAAAAAAAAATGCGGGATCATTTGAACTCCGATTTCAGCAAACTTACTGTCAAACTGAGCGTCTCGGAAATACGAACCCAACGACACCAAATTCGACTCAATTCGAGCCCAACTGAGTCCAAATCAAGGACTCGAAGTGTTGTTGAAAAGTTCAAACCACAAATTGAGTTACCAAATGGTTTTCAAAAATAACGTGCTTATAGTCGAATCGACTGGGTCGACGAGATCAATCCAATGAACCCAAGATTGTTGAATTCCGCATCATTAAGACATTCAAATGTCTGACAAACAGTACACGATCAATGGATTCAATATCGGCCGTCCATCCGACCACTCCCTATTTACCTCTGATCTCTCACCTATTTACAGGCCATGCCACTCCAGAATATCTATAAATAGATCCCTCATTTCTCATGAGAGGGGACCCAAGCAAGAAGAAGAGAAGAAGAATAGGATGGAAGAAACTGCTCGACCACTGTCGGGATTCTACCCGATTTCCAAGTAACGCCGGAATTGCGCTCGACTTCCAAATGACGCCGAAATTCCGCCCGACTTCCAAATGACGTCGGAATTCCGCGCGACTTTCAAATGACACCGAAATTCCTACTGACTTTCAAGTGACGCCGGAATTCCGCCCGACTTCCAAGTGACGACGGAATTTCGCCAGACTTTCTAGTGATGCCGAAATTCCGCCCAACCTCCAAGTGACGCCAGAATTCCGCCTGACTTTCTAGTGACGCCGGAATTCCGCCTGACTTTCTAGTGACGCCGGAATTCTGCCCGGCCTCCAAGTAACGCCCGAGTTTCTCCCGGACTCCAAGTGACTCCGAAATTTTGCCCGAATACCATCTAATGTCGGAGTTCTCCCCTAGCCGCCGACCACGGTCCTTCCGACTACTGTCCTTTCGACCTTCGTCTCCTGCCGACTACGTTCCTTCTGGCTTACGTCGCCCACCGACTACAGTCCTTCCTACCTCTGTTGCTTGCCGACTATGATCCTTCCGACTTCTGTCGCCCGCCGACTACGGTCCTTCCGACCTCTGTTGCCCACCGACCACGGTCCTTCTGACTTATATTGCCCACCAACTACAGTCCTTCCGACCAAACAAACACATCAATAGTGACTATTTGTATTCTCACTATGTAGTGTATTCTATAAGATGAATATCAAGCTAAGGCCTTCCCCCAAATAAGGGCCTCATTTGTAATCAACTGCAAATACTAGTGGATTCATTCAAACTGGGCTAGGCTCCATGGTTATTCCCCCTTTTCAGAGGTTTTCCACGTAAAAATCTTGGTGTCTCATATGAATGCTACACTCTCTCTTATTTGATTGCGTGCCGGATTTTCGTACAACGCTAAGATGCTAAATTTTATATTTCTCTACTGCCGCGAAAACTCCAGGACACAATAGTGATATAAAGCGATATATAAGTTAATCTTCCTAAATATTTTAGATTTAATTAATTAAGTTTTTATTTCTACCACTATATTTATTTATTATATTAATTTTCCCTTGATCGAATTTTTTATATGGAAAGTTTGTTGGATTTACGTAGTTTGTTGGATTTACGTAAAGGTCCTGAGAAAGAGTATTGCTATATGTAAATTGATATCATATCCGACATTTATGTGACAAATAAAACAAAATTATCTTAACCTAAAAAGTATATCCACCGATATATTAAATAAATTTAATCAAGGATAGGAGGTTTCATATATATAAAGTAAATTATCTTAAAAAAATAGGATGGAATATTTTAAATATGACATAAATGAAATCTTTTTTTTTCTTTTAATTTTAATTTTAAAATAAATATTCAGTTTCTTAGATAAGCCAAAAATTAAAAGAGCATTATTTACATATACCATATACAATTTTTATATGTTTAAGTATTTAATACTTACAACTTTAATATTTAGTTAGAGGCAATTTGATTACAAATAAAATCAAGTGTAAAGTAAGTCACATTTAAAATTTTTGGTATTTGATATGAAGAAAATTTGAGGAATAAAATTTCAATATATTTAAAATTTATTATCTAGTTCATTTTTAATATTTTTATAATTTACTTGATTTGAGCAAATACCAATTACAATATCCATTTTGCCACCCACTAAAGCCCTTAGGCTTTTCCCATCTCCTCATAAATAGTCATTGTCGCCTCCCATCATCATTGATAATTGTCAAATGCTGCCAGCTATCATTCATCGTCACTTGTTGAATGAATTAATTTTACTTTTTAAAATAATTTCTATCTTATTTTTGAATATTTTATATTGTTAGATATTGTTCTAGATTTTTAGGTTCTTTTTTGTATGGCATATGTAGTCATTTGTGGAGCTATTTGTATAGTCTTTAGGAGTCTTTAAATATGTGTGTGTAGGCTTGTAATAGGCAGCCAAGGGAATAAAGATTGCTGGATTTTTTGGCTCACGGTTTCCCTCTCCCTCCTCTCTCCCTCTCCCTCCTCCTCTCTCCCTCTCTAGATCTTGCAAGAAGATCTCTCAAGATCTTCCTACTTGATTTCAACATATACTATATTCCCTTTTACTCTATGTTCTTATTCAGCAAATAAAAAAACCACTTATATAACACCCAAATCTTAATTACATCAAAAACAACATTGATGTTAGCATTTTAAAAAGTAAAATACATCTTTTCAGATATATAATCTTTTTATTTGATTGAGGTGTAAAATGTTTTATAAATAAAATATCAAAATTTAAGTATTAGCTATATAAAATACAAAAATTATGTGATGTATATATAAACACCCCCCCCCCCCCACATTTTCCCCCCCCCCCCCCCAACTTAATGGCCTTTCTTTATAATAACATTCAATTCTTCACTATGAATGCAATTTATATTATTTCAAATATTTCTTGATATGTATATTATACAAGACTGAGGGTTTGTTTGAGATAGCTATAGTTTTTTATATAGTTGGTTGTGAAATTGTTGTAGAGAAAATAATTTTATTATTATTATTACATAAAGCAATTTTCCATCATATATTTTTTTAAAAAACAATGAAAAAAGAGTAGCAAATTAAAAATATTATTGTTATCTGAAAAACATAATAATCTTAAAGCATTCCCAAGCAAACCCTTAATGAGTCAATGCATTGCACACATAATGATGTTCATTATATAAGCTTTATCGACTTCCGAAATGAGTCACTTTTCTAGGTTTCCTTTGCCCGTAGCTAGCTAATATCTTATTTCGGTGTTTGTTTAGTTTTCTTCGCTCCGGTTTGTCTCCTCTCCTGTTGAAAGACCGTGATTTTCTAAACAGGATTTTGTCTTCTCATTCATTTAGGGATGCATTGCTAGGCTTGTCTCCTACTTCGGCTTCATTCCTTGATCTCCAAATTTCAACTCACCAGGGGTTACCTTCCCTTTGGATTACGGAGGATGAAATCCTTGAACTTGCAGCCCCATTTGAGTTCGCTTTGATTGGGAAATTCCCAGGTCATAGAACCTCTCTTGAAGCCAAAATATTTTTTTTTTACAATCTTAAATTGATTGGTGATTTTTCGATTACTATTTTTAACCCGAAACATGTTTTAATTGAACTTGTGAATGACCTTAATTATTGCAGAGTGTTTGTCCATCCTTCCTACTTTGTGAACAATTGTTATATCAAATTGTGTAAATGAACTCCGAATTTTGATATTGAGGGTGAGTCTCCAATCATTCTTATTTAGGTTTTGTTTCCCAACCTAAGGGCTCACCTTTTTCTTCTAAAATACTTCATGGTCTTTGCTCCCTCTTTGGCTGACCTCTTAAAACAGATAATGCTATCTCCTTTGGCTCTCGTCCATCAGTAGCTCATGTGTTAGTTGAATTAGATGTATCCAAACACTATCCTGATAAAGTGTTTGTTGGCCCTGAAAATTTGGGTTACATTCATGTTGTGGTTATGGATGACTCCTTTATTTTGTGTTCACTATAAATCTTTGGGTCATTGTCAAGCTGAATGTTGTATTTTACATCCCCATCTTAATCCTACTCCCGTTGTGAAACCTCTTTCAAATATTGGGGTTGGTAAACCCACTAGTGGTTTGGAAGAAGGTAATGCTCAGTACTAGTTGTGATTTAATTAAGCAAAATAGTGTGGAGGTTGGTGCTGTTGGAAATGAGCTGTTATCTCATCATTTAAATGTTGGTGACATCGGGGCCCCATTTGAGCCCATTGTTTAAGCTCCTGTGGTGCCTGTGGAAGTTGTTCATGCTCCCAATTTTGAGAATTTTGGTGATGTGAATGTGACTAGTGTCGATAGAGAAGCTTGTGAGGCCGTCACACAGGTTGCTGGTGAGATGATTTTGGCAAATTGTGTGCTTGGTTTGTCTCATGACAATTTGGATGTGAAGAACAAGAATTTGTGTGAAAATAACAAGATGGCTTTAAATGTTTTCGCTAGTGGATTGATTGTCTTCTTCTAACGCTTTAAGCTCTCCTATTACCCCTTTAGTCTTCTTGTATAGAGAGGAGTCTCCTACTGATGTGGGTGCTTCTATGGCTAACTTGACTGTGTGCGTCGAAATTATGCATGAATTTAGTAAGGTGGTGGAAGGTCTCAACTTAGATGTTTATGCCACTAACAAGGCTATATTTAATGAGTCATCTCTTCACTTGTTTCTTCATTAGCTTCATTAGGGCCAGCGTCGTCTCCTATCAATAAATTAATAAATATGATATTCATTATCTGAATTTAAAATTTGGGTTGGATTTCCATTTTTAGTAAATCCAGATCAGTTCGTATAGGCGTCTGAAACCCGATTACCCGAACGACTTCACGATCCAAATAAAGTTAGCCATGGTGGGTCCCACCACCCACTCTCCTAATTTATAAAAAAACTTTTAAAAGGAAATAAATAATTGAAGCAACATAAAATCCGCTAAATTCCACCGTTGAAAATTTTATTTTAAGGAAAATCAAATAAAAACAAAGAAACATATATTTGTTAAAGTATTATTGTAAAATTTATTATAGCTTGATTTTTTTTCATGAAAATAGTAATAATTTTAAAAATTTAGAAATATAATTAATTAAATTTTATATAACTCTAGATTTCTTCTGAATCCCAGATAATAAGTTTTTTAATTAAGATGATGAAATGGAATTTGTACAATAATTTCATAAAATCCTAAAAAATTAATATAATTTTATCCTAACAAACACATGATTAGTAAGCGTCACCAGGCTTATCTCGAGAATTAGCATGAAACCGCACGTAATCCCCCAATTGAAATGTCGCCGCGTCAGGAAAATCGCCACCTCACAACCACCGGTTATCGTCCTTTTTTTATCGAAAATAGATCACAAATCCTTTCCTTAGACTCTTCCAGCTACTCTGCAACCCAAAAAGGCAAAACAGAAATTCAGGGTTATGTGGAAAACCCTCTTTGCGACCTTTGATCGAACAGTTGGCATGCAAATTTGCCAAACAAACCAATCTTCTCAGCTGAAATAGCGAAGATTCGCTCTAGAAGCGCTGCCAGCACGAAAGGGGGCATTCCGTTCCGTTCATTTTCCCCCTTCGCCTATATATATCTACATCGCAAATGTCTCGCTTGAATCTGTTCCATAAACATTCACGGTGCTTTATCTGCTTGATCTTATTGTTGTTTTATCTATCTTCTCTTGTTTCTCAACGTGGAAGTGTAAGAATGGCTAAGAACGATTCTGGTAATTGGGAAAAAAGCCCGTTCATTATTTGCTTCGGCGAGATGCTCATCGACTTCGTCCCGAATGTCTCCGGTGTTTCTCTTGCGGAGGCTACGGCATTCAAGAAGGCCGCCGGCGGCGCCCCGGCGAATGTCGCCGTCGGCATTGCCAGGCTTGGCGGTTCCTCTGCTTTCATCGGAAAGGTAATCCTGTAAGCATTGTGCAAATCCATTCGTCCATTTGGTCTGTTGGACGACCAACAGATACCGGATTTTTAAGATATCGCAGTTGTTAAAATCCGGACAATCTGTTGAGGAATTTTACGTAAGGTCTTACAGTTAATTATAATTTTTTAAGCTCACTAAGTGAATAATAATGCAGTTTATGAATATTATTTTTTATTGTAATTATTAAACTAATGGAATAAATTACTATTAAAGTATACTAATATAAATTATAGCGAAATGAATTTAAAAATGTATGAATATGTTGTAATATTATTGAAAAAAAATTAAAATGATATTAATTTAAAAATAAATTTAATAATTTTTTGATACAATTTATATCAGAAATTTTGTTTTACCCTTTCCAACGGCAACGGATGAAAGCATATCCTCATTGGTTTTGTCATTTCATCAAACAGGTTGGGGACGACGAATTCGGGCATATGCTTTCCAACATTTTGAAGATCAACAATGTGGATAACTCCGGTATCCGCTTCGACACTGGCGCTAGAACTGCACTAGCCTTTGTGACTCTTAGAGCCGACGGCGAACGGGAGTTCATGTTCTATCGAAATCCAAGCGCCGATATGCTCCTGAAAGAATCCGATCTTGATCTTCATCTCATCAAGAAGGTATATATAACAGTAGTTAGTTTTCTTTTACCGTCATTAATTCAAGTTTAATGATGAATAAAATAAAATGAAATACAGGGTTCCATATTTCACTATGGCTCCATTAGCTTGATCAAGGAGCCGTGCAGATCAACTCATCTTGCTGCTCTTAAGTTTGCCAAGAAGGAAGGTCTCCTGCTTTCCTATGATCCTAATCTGCGACTTCCACTTTGGCCTTCAGCAGATGCTGCTCGTGAGGGCATTAAAAGCATATGGGAATACGCAGATGTCATCAAGGTCTCATCTTTAGCTTCACCTGAAACTTATTAGATTAAGGGGTTGTTTCAGGCAGGATTAAGCATAAATTCTGCCTTAAATTTTAAATCAGAGTTTCAGTCTCAAAATTGAACACATCACTACGAACGATTTATCGCCCCAGGAGGTGAAATATCGTTCCTTAATAATTTCAAATAATGGAACTAAATATTTCATCCAGGCTGTAATAGTTAATTTCAGGGAAGGTCAAAATGACGTTCTATTTGTATTTAACTATTGCAATATGGATGAGAGATCATTAATTTTATATTCGATGTCTTGATACGAAAGGATATATCTTCCCGAAGAAAGATAATATCCTTTATTAATTAATCGTCTGAATATGACAATAATGATCACTATTGATTAATTTTTCAATAAAGAAGACTAGTTGAGTTTTGAAAATCAATTTTTAAAAATAGATGTGGGATTCACCTCATTGATATAACTCCTAGAAAATTTCTAAACATAATTTATGCTGTTATTTTAATCCTGTCAAACAACATTTCATGAACTACAAATTATTCTATTTCGATAAATCTAATTTCAACTTATTATTTATTAAATCTTGAATTTGTTAAATCCCATCATTTACATTACTTAAAGCATGAATCTTTGAAAAAATATAATCAAATGTTTTTTTTTTAATGTTACATAACATATTGTTTTTGCAGCTATTACAACAAAACAAATTTGATTATAAAAACATTACTTTTATCACATTAATTTATGAAATGCAGCAAAACATAGAAATGTGATTTGAAAAACAAAATTATAAAGAACTATCAGAAGCGATCCTTAATCCCACTCGAGTTAAGTCCTACTTGTAGCCAAACAACCCAAAGTTTTTTTTTTCCTCTCATAAATTCAGTTCTAGTTTGCTGATTTATGATATAATATTGACAGGTGAGTGAGCAGGAAATCTCATTTTTGACTGGAGGTGAAGACCCTTATAGTGATGAGGTTGTGTATAATAATCTTTTTCACGACAATCTCAAACTCCTTGTTGTAACCGATGGAGAAAAGGGTTGCAGATACTACACCAAGGTATATGCCAATATAACACTTGTCATCAATTGGAGAAAAGGGTCATTAATATTACTGCTCTGATACATTTTATTGATCTGTGAGAGTAGAAATTCCATGGGAGAGTTGGTGGGTTTAGAGTTAAAGCTGTGGATACTACTGGTGCTGGTGATTCTTTTGTCAGCGGGCTGTTAGTTCATTTGGCGTCCAATCTAGATATTTATCAGGTACTTAATATATTCATTATTTTGAATATTTCATTCGAATATCAAGAGAGATGCCACATATTTTTTTTTTTAACTATTTAGCTTAATGAGTTTTAAAAGAACTAATCCCAGAAGGATTTTTATAATAAAATTGAAATCAGTTGTTATTGCTAGAAATGCTAGAAAGTAGAGCATCCTAATATAAATTTCTCAAGGAATTAGAGATTCAATCAGGAGGAGTTTAAAGGGCTCATATGAGCTTTCCTCATTGAAAAAATATGAAGTTATCATTTATGAACTTTTTTTTTTTTGCTAACATTCAGATTCCTATTCCAGATTTAACTCATGTTATTACCATCACATTAAGATTTTGTTTGGGTAAGCTTTCTTATTTCTTCTTAAAGCAACTTTTTAGCATAGAAATTAAAATTTTTGTACTAAAAATCTGCTTTAAAAAACAATAAGAAAGCCATCTCAAATGAAGCCTAAGGCTTTGTTTGGGACGGATTTATTCCTGCTTCTTAAAGTAGTTTTTTAGTACAAAAATTAAAAATTTGTTCTAGAAAAATGCTTTAAGAAGCAGTAAGAAAGCTGTCCCAAACGAAGCCTAAGATACATTCCATAAATCACTTTGACACAGACTTCAAAAGCAATCATGTTCATTCATTAACTTCTTAAACTTTCATGAAACGACTGAAATATACTTGGCCACATTTGCTATTATCATTCAAATCAAAATGCTGCCTTTTCAGATGTACATTAGAGTTTATTCTCCTTCAAATGAATAACCATTGCCATTCTGTATAGCAGCCCACGATTTCACATATAATCAATTATTTTCTGAGCAACCTTAATCTTTTTATAAGAATTCTATGCGAATATTTGAATTTGTTTTACTAGTTTTACTTCTCACTTACTCCGTTTACAAACACCACCTTTCTTTATATTTCTTTCTCATTCTCCTCGATGTACAGTTGACATAGTTCTCTATTTGTCTCAAAAATCAAAATTCCATTTTTGTTTGTAAGATTTAACACTAAGAACATGTTAACAGGATGAGAAGAAACTAAAGGAAGCCTTGGTCTTCGCCAATGCATGCGGAGCAATCACAGTCACTGAGAGGGGAGCAATTCCCTCACTTCCCACCAAAGAAGCAGTTCTTGATTTCATCCCAAAAGGGAACGAACAACCTCACAGCTTGTGTCTTATTTCTTGAAACACAAGCCCAAGTATTATAATACTAGTTCATCTTATAAACTCATTGATATTGTTTTTTATTAGATATTGGTCCTAGATTCAGGATGTTTCTTATATGACTTATATAGTTGTTAGTGTAGCTTTTGGTGTTGCTATTGTAAGTCTATAAAATAGAGGCTTTATGTTGTAATAGAGTATGATCAAGCAATAAAGATTTGAGTTCAGCTCTCTGTCTCCCTTCCCTCTCTCCCTCCTCATCTCCCAAGATCAAGAAAAGAAAATGCTTCTTCCTCTCAAGCAAGATCTCACATATGATATTAGAGCCATGGTGGTGACGATCTTGAGGCAGAGGAGAGGTGGTTTTCTGCTCCAAAGAAAACGATTCGAAGAAGGACGATGGATACGGGCTTTGTTGTCAAGGCAGTTGGGCTGATCTCACTGGTTGGAGCAGGATAGCTACGTACGTGAAGTGTGAGAAGGCCGGAGGCTTGCGGCGCAGGTGTCGCTGTTCGGTCGTGTGAGAGAAGCTGACGACAGGTGCAAGGGACTAGCTTTTGGAGGTTTGATCCGATCGGAGGTGAGACTGGATTCTTCCGCTTGGTGGAAAGGGAGGCGGACGTATAGTCTTGTGCTCTACAGGAGACGTACGACGGAGTAGGGAGGCGAGATGTCTAGCTGAGTTCGGCTACCGGAGGCGGCAGGGGTAGTTGATGTTGGCTTGAGGCTTGCTCGGGGCTGAACGAACGGAAGCCCGACGTCAAGATCACAACAATCGGAGGCAGGAATTGAGTCGTGGCTTGTTCGTGGATGTGGGCTTCTGTTTCTTGTGATCAACCTTGGCTTGCCGGCTTTCTGGAGCTATCGAATGCAAGAAGAGCAGAGCCAGAGGAGTTCTTGAGCAATTGCACAGGAACAGAGGAACCCTTTCATTCAGATTTTTGGGAAGGACACAGCAGAACCGCAGCCTCTGGAGGGTTTCTTGGAGTTTGGAAGAAATTGTAATCAAGATTGTAGCAGAAGATCTGCTCAGATCTTTTGAGGTGGAGTTTCAGCTTCAGGCGGAGTTGGATTTGGCCTGTTCTTGAGGAGCAGTGCCGGTAGTGCGGGGCGTTTGGAGGTGCGAGGTTGTGCGGCGCACAAAGAGGTCGTATAGGAGTGCAGGACACCAGTGGAGGACATGCAGGGCCCTGGCCAGACGCGACAGTGCAGGGCATGGGAATGTGACGAGCACGGCGCGTGGGAAGGCGCAGGGATTGGTGCGCGGGTGGTTACACGTAGAATGTGGTTGGAGTTAGACCGCATGAGTGCAAGGCGCCGGAGCGGAGATGGAGGCTCAGGGCGCGGGCACAGGGCGTAGGGTGCAGGTCGATGCATAGAGCATGGAAGCAAGGCACACTGGGTGCTCGAGAATTTGGTTGTATGAGACGCAGTGTGACATGAGTAGAACTGTCGGGTTGGTGGTGTAGTTATCTTTTTATTGTGTAAATTTAGGATCAAGGTGGAAATTGTTAGATATTGATCATAGATTTTGGTTGTTTCTTGTATAGCTTGTATAGCCATTGGTGTAGCTTTTGGTGTTACTATTTTAAGTCTATAAAATAGGGGGGATGTAATAGAGTATGGTCAAGCAATAAAGATTTGAGTTCGGCTCTCTCTCTCCATTCCTTCTCTCACTTCTCATCTCTCAAGATCAAGAAGAGGAAATGCTTCTTCCTCTCAAGTAAGATCTCACACTTCTGTGAACCCTAAGTCAATTTTCCCCACAACCAACTTTATAAAATATTATAGCATCTCAAACAAACCCTTTATTATGTAAGTGAAATATATTTTTACTCATTCAAATCAACATATTTTAAACATCACACACACACATATATATATATATATATATAACCAAGCATATTTTAGCATCTTGAGGAGCTTTATTATTGTCAAGTTTATGCCTTCAACATTACCAAATAAAATGAAGGGGGTGATTAGGATGGAGCTTCCAATGAAAATCCTAATCACTCTCCACCTATACTATAAACTAAATAATAATTCGTTTTATCTAATTCTAATTACAGATGAAGAGTTGATTAAGATTTCTTGATCTGAATTTTGATTAGGAGCTCAGAACTTTTTTTTTTTCCAATAAAAAATATCGTGGTTATAAGAGCTTTATGGATTAGTGCCTTAGGCTGGTCCAAAGGGATTCTTGAGCAGTTCGGTCTTGCTGTAAGATCTTGGCTCGCCGGCTGAGATTTTTAAGAAATAGTGTACGTAACAGTGAGGGTAAGAAATCGATGGAAGCGGCTTCGGTTGAAAAGCCTCTCGATCAGTCCAAGGCTTCCCTTTCGGTTTCGCGGAATTTATTTGCTTCTGTTGGTTAATAACCAGTATCCTTTACTTTATAATATCAACTACGTAACATCATAATTTTACCTAGGGCTGCAAACGAACCAAACCGAGCCGAGTATGTGAGTATTCATGTTTGAGTTCGTTTATTATTAGCTTGTTCAAGTTCGGTTCGTTTTTGATTCGAGCCTTATTGTTTGTGTTCATATTTGGTTTGTTTAAATTAATGGTGTTTATGCTCGGTTCGTTTAGTGCTTATCGAACTTTAAAAAAATAAGCCTTAACGAGCTATGTTTGTGAACATATTTAATGAATTTTTTTACACTATCAAACAAACAGGTTCATGAACAATTCTAATGAGTACTCTTGAGCTATCAATTTAGCAAGATCATGAATAAATACATAACTAGTATTTTCGAGCTACCAAATGAGCTCATTCATGAATAAACGATCTATGATTTATCTTATATGATTATTTTTTGAAAATTTTGAAACCCAAAAATACGTAATTATTATTTATCTAATAAAGTAGAAGTATTGCTACAATTTTTGTATAAAAATTGACTAAGATTTATTAGAGGAATATAAGTAATCTAATTAAAATAGGAAGAATATCATCTACTAATTTGAAAATATTTTCTATTTATTAGCTTAATAAAATGAATATTTGACATGAGTCTTTATGATTATAAAATATTTAATATTTTTACCTAAAATATACTATATATTTTATGCACGTGAGATAAATCTTATTACTTCCCTCCCTTTTTTTTTTAATAACAAAACACAGATTTGATTCCAATTAACAAAAGAGGTTATAAAAAGCTAACAAGAGGGAAGAAAAGCGACAAGGAAGCTAAAAGGGAACAACCCATAGGCTCAGTAAAGACAGAGGCTATGAACCACACCTAAGCAAAGCAGGGGCCATCAAGTATGGAGTGAGAGCAAGAAAACACCAAGTAGCCATCCCAAACGAATAATGAATGCACCACCAAAGGTTGCCACGAGCCACTACGTAGGAACAGTGAGCCCTAACCACATCATTGCCCTCAGTATAAAATTTGCAACCACAAATATTCAGCCAAACTGCAGCGACCAAACAAAATGCCTTCCAACAAGAACATTCCACCATCCAAAGGAAAGAGCTTGATGAACAACCAGACATCCGCCACCACATTACCACCAACATGCAAGCAACCAAAAAATCATAAACTTAACCAAAATAAGAGCATCAATCACAACAAAACCCAGCATTATTTCCTTCCACGCCTACCCCTACCACGAGAGGTAACATAAAAAACAGGACGATCGTTACGCTTTACAAACTCTTCCCCAGGTTCTTCCTCTTCACTATACTCCTAGGCTTGAAGCCAATCAATATGCATTCTCACATCCTCCCCCACTTGAACAAATAAAGCCTCGGGAGAAATTAAATTAACAGGCACGTCAATAAAAGGGCCGGGTACAAGAAAAGTAGGCGTGACAGGGGAATTGAAATTACAGACATCCACACGAGCAGATGAATCACCAACTAAAGCCTCAAGATTAAGGTGAGAGATCGAATGAACAGAGCCCGAAGAGTCATGGGAAATCAATTCTCAGGCAACACAATCCAAACCCTTTGAATAGGCCACAACCAAAGGGGGAGAAACGACCATAGGGTGACAAATAGAATCCAATTTGTTAATCGCACCACTCAACGGAATAGCCAAAGTGGCCGGCACAACCTCAACAGAGACATGATGAGGAGGGGGAGGTGATTCAGCTAAATGTTTCCCAATATAAACATCATCCACAACACAATACCCAATATTACTGGCACCAGGTATACAATCAGGATTAGCTACTAAAGTATCCTTACTACAAGTGTTGGGGTCCGGCACTAAAGCCAAATCGTTCAAAACATGAGCGAGAACATCCCCCCCCGATCAGAAACGAAAACAGAAGTAGAAGGCTTAAGGGGGACACCAACTTTGGACTTACATTCCTCCCTAGCATGACCCAAAAAATGACAAAGAGCACAATACAGGGGGAACACCTCCATCTCAACCTTTTGGATGTAGCCCAGCTTCTTAGGGCCAATCCAGACAGAGTCCGAAAATTTTTTAGTTATATCAATCTCAACCAAAACTCTCGCTATAGATGGCCTCGACCCCAATGAAGTTGCAGAATCGACCTTGAGCGGATGACCAAAGGTAGAGCCTAAGGCATGAAGAATTCTCGGGTTAAGGAGGTGAGGTCGAAGACCAGAGAAAGAGATCCATATAGGAATCACCGGGCATTCAATAGAGATATCCAAAGGAGTTCATTTAGTTAATTTCATATAACAATTATAAACCAGATACGAACGATGACAGAAAACTCGACCGTAATCGAGATCATTCGAAAACTTAACCAGAATGTGTGAAGAATCAAGCACAGTGACAGAGAAATCGGCTATAAGTTTCAAATTGGAAAAAAAATCTCCCAATGGATTCTAAGCTAGGTCGCTTAGCAGGAAAAAAGCCAACCAGTGAAAATTGGATGGGAGCCACCATAGCCCTAATTTCATCCTCAGATATCCATAGTTAAGGCATACCACTGTAAGATGAAGACTTAGCTCCGGGAAAAAAAATAGAAGATAGCAAACCAGCTAAAGCATTAGCAAAAGACCGTGAAAAATTGGAACCAGATAAAAAATTAGGGTCCAACAAGCGTGTCGGTGCCAAACGACAGCAAAAACTCTCGAAGCGACCAAAAAAGGAAAGAGACAGGGAAACGAGAGAAACTCCCTGAGCAAATTGGCGGCGAAGCCCGGCGAGGGGACGCACCCAGCAAACCCTAGACAATAGGGAGACCCCTAGACGCCCAGGGAAAAGATAAAAAGTAGCTAGCAACAGAGTTAACCCTTAAT